TATAGTGTCCATTTAATGTGAGGTAAATTAGAGATTAGTGTCACTAATAGTATACTAGATTGCCTACTTACAATCAGATGTGGATGGTGATGGGCTCTGGCTGCAGTCTGGCTCCACTGGTCTGGTGTAGAACAGGATCTCTGGAGGCTGTTTGTAACTGTGGTCACAAAATTCAATGTTCTGGGAGAACGGGAAGCAGCTCAATTTTTTGGGGCCTCTTACATAGCTCAAGGTCTGGGCCCCAGGGTCTGACGGTGAGTATGCCCATAAAGCCCACCCATAAGTCCACCTACATGTTCCACCCATGAGTTCGCTCACAGGGAGTAGAGTGTGTAGGGGATGTGTTATGTGTTACTGTAGAGGATCTAATGTGTGTGCTTATGGAATGTAGTGTATAGGGATACCAGTTTGTGTAGGTGATGCAGTGTGTTTGTGTGTAGTGGAAGCAGTGTGTTTTTGTGTAAAGGATAGAAAGCAGTGAGTGTTTGTGTATAAGGGATGTATTGTGTGTTTCTTGTTGTGTGTAAGGGATGCATTGTGTGAATCTGTGTTTGTATGCATAAGGGATGCAAAGTGTGTTTCTGTGTATGTAAGGGATGCATTGTGTGTGTCTGTAAGGGGTGCGTTGAGTGTGTGTAAGAGAAGCAGTGTGTGTTTGCATGTGTGTGTAAGGGATGCATTGTCTTTACATGTAAGGGTTGCATTGTGTGTTTCTCTGTGTGTAAGGGAAGCATGTTGTGTTTCTGTGTGTATAGGGATGCATTGTGTGTGTGTGTGTGTGTGCGCGTAGTGTGAAAGAGCTCCCTGTCTTGCCCCCTGTCCTATAGAGCTCTTCCATCCCTTAGAGATCTCCCCTTCCCCTTAGTGGTCTCTCCTCTCCCCCCCCACCTCCCTTAGTGGTCTCCTTTTCTCCCCGACTTTCCATTAGTGGTCTCTGCTCTCCTCTGCCCCCCTTTCCATTAGTGGTATCTCTGTGGCGAAACCAACCCTCCCTCCCTGTAATCTTCTCCACCCCCCTGTAATCTCCTCCACTCTCCCCTCCCTGTAATCTCCTCCACTCCCCCCTCCCTCCCTGTAATCTACTCCACTCCCCCCTCCCTCCCTGTAATCTACTCCACTCCCTCCCTCCCTGTAATCTCCTCCACACCCCTCCCTCCCTGTAATCTCCTCCACTTCCCCTCCCTCCCTGTAATCTCCTCCACTCCCCCTCCCTCCCTGTAATCTCCGCCACTCCCCCCAGCTGCCTAGTTCGCCTTATAGGAAGCGCCGGCCCTGTCTGTCAGTCAAAGTGCTTGTTGGTCTTAAACAGGAAGGGATGTGACAAATTTTTATTAGTGGGGGCCAGAATTTAGTCATGTCTAGGAAAGCACAAATTCAAAAAATGGGCATCAGTGTGTTTGTGTGTGTATGGATGTAGGCGTATCAGAGTGTGTATATGTAAGAGTGTAATTGTGTATATGTGTGAATGTATTAGTGTGTGTGTGTATGTTTGTGTGTCAATTCAGCAATTCAAAGAAAAAGTGGCAACATATATAATATATATAATATACTGTACAAACATATACAATACAAGGGGAAACACATAAAAATAACATAAATGATAATATATATGTGAAAGAATTATAGAATACGTGGGGACATATTGTAAAAAAAAAAAAGAGCTTATTTTTGCCCAACTAAAGTTTTAATTTTTGTTTCCAAAAACCCCTCAACCTTAACCCTCCAATAACCGGCACTTATGTATACACAACTTCTAGACTATGCATCTATTTCCCCCAATAGTGTACAGATGTTCCTCACTTACCGACCTGGGAATCGTTCTTACGACCCATTCGTTAAACGAATTGGTCGGTAAATGAGGCGCATGCGCACCAGTGGAGGTCTATGTTTAGGGAAAGTTCCCCCGAACATAGACAAGCGCACCAGAGCAGGAAATCCCTCTAATCTATGTTCGGGGAAATTCCCCAAACATAGACCAGCTCTCTAACATAAAAAAGTAACATTCTGAGCATATTTCGGGGTGGGAGAGTGGTGGTTAATTTCAATGGCACATTTGTAAAATGCCCATGAAAAGTGTAATTTATAGGTAAAAAAAAAAAAAATGCTAAAAACAGTTTTACATAAACTGGTGAAAAAATGGCAGCACATTAAGGCGCACTATATACCATACGAGATACCCCGTAGTGTCTACTTCCATACGATAGGCTCTTGCAGGGAAATTTAAAGAGTTAACCTTGTGTAGAGTCTTAAAATGAGGCATAGGCACATGAAATCCATCTCTCAAAATTCTAACTGTAAAAACTGTGAATAGCTTCACAGTAGAGGCAAAGACATACTTTGGGGGAATTGGTTTATTCAGAAGATTTTTTTTTTTTTCAGGAGTAGCACACAACAGATTTAGGAAATACACATCGAAAAAAGTGCGTTTGCTAAAAATTTTAAAAATACCAATTTAACTACAAATATTTAACAGATTTGCAGTTAAAGTCACCAGAACCACTGCAGCTTGTTCTGGTGTCTATAACATGTCCCTTCTGGCTTTTCAATGTAAACCAATCTTTTTCAGAAGAAAAGGCAGTGTTTACATTACTGCCTAGTAACTCAGACTGCCACTAGAGATGCTACCAGTTTCAGAGCTGCATTGTATACAGCAACTACATTCAACATTTCCACGGTCTGCATGGAGACGCTGAATGCTCCCCATAGGGATGCATTGATTAAATAACCTGTGATGTCGGATACACTATATTAATTCAATGCATCTCTATGAGATGATGTGGATTGGCACAGTGCGGTGCTTTGCCACATATGCACAAAAGCCTCCCAATTATTTCCTATGTGAAAGCATTGGTTTAGTAATTTCAGTCACCAAGAGCTTTTGGGTTCCTCCCACCAAAACTGAGGAAAGTTTCCCGCCATCTAATTCCCATGCACAGACATTTTTTTTTTTATCCCTCCCTGCCTTTCTTCCTCTTGGTGTGGCTTCTGAGCCCGTTAAATCCTCCATTTAAAGGCTTCTCATAGAGAAGCCTTTTATTGGACATCATACGGGTGTGCATTGAGCAGCGACAGGATCTTCGTCTGGCACTCTATTAAGGTGAATAAAAAAAACTAATTTTTGAGTGTTTCGTGTGGGGGCACCTACACAATGATGTCCATAAAGGGCTAAGATTAATATTGCATTATGAATTTGCGTTCAGACTACATTAATGATAACCTACAGTTAATGTTAACCAAACTCCCAGTTCTGAAGTTCCCTTAAAACAGATCCTGTCCATGGAGGCCCCACCTTGCAACTTGTAGGACTTAAAAGATCTGATGCTAATGTATTGGTGCCAGATACCTCAGAACATGTTCAGAGGTCTTCTGGAGCCCATGCTTTGACGCATCAGAGCTGTTTTGCAGCATTTAAGAAACCTACACAATAATAGGCAGGAGGTTTTAATGTTGTGGCTGATCCGTTTATAGGAAAGAATGAAAGATCCTGTGGCTTCAGCTCTGTCTGGTAGGTTTTAAAGGAATGGCTAATGGGTCCTTGCTCATATTTGAGTGTATTTATGGGAACATTAGTTATATTTGAGATCACATTATGCATTGGATATTATATTGCTTTAACCTCTAAGTAATCAAGATCTTTCACAGGTTCTGTGCTTAAGGGATTAACTGCTTATTGGCAATTTTGCCATATGTTTGTTCCACAATAATTCAACACTTTCTCCTAATCTGCACCTCAAAAACTGTATACCATTTTTGCTAAAGGAATAATATGGTTTTATTCTTATTTGAAACACAAGGTTAAGTATGAAAAACATAAAAAAAAAAAAATTAACAAATTACATTTTGTTCATAATTTCTACACAAGAAGTACTGATTGTGAAAATGCTTTATACACCAAGAATTTAAATTAAAATGAAACTCTATAGCCAGACAATAATTTTTTTTGCACGTGTGCAAAAGTTTGTTTCAACAGCTTGTCAGAATCCAATCCCTTTTAATCCACACCTGAACAAACTATTCAGTAAATTAGACCCCCCCCCAGGTGAATTCCGATATATTGGTCCGGGTGTGGATAAAAAAGCATTGGATTCAAATGAACCATCGAAACAAAGTCTAATATTTTTTTTTTTAATGCATGTATGTAATTAAAAAGAATCTTTGAGAAGCAATATGAGGTTTTTTGTTTTTTTTTACTTTGTTACAGAAACAACGGCAGAGTAGCAGAGGCAGGCATTTGAAACTTATTAATATGGGACATGGTTTTTGTAGGAGGTGACAGAGGCAGAAAAGGAATGATGGGGAGGTGGAATTACAAGAGTGTAGCTGGGGGAAGGCAGAGTTATGACATGACTAGGGGTGGAGTTACAGTGATTGACTGACCAATCACATAATAGTCTATTAGATGTAGAATTTGACCAAAGAAACCGCAAGATTGGAGCAAATTTTGCGGTATGAGACAAGTTTGGAGCCGTTTTTAACAAAATGTTTAATATACTTGCTTTAGAAGTTTTCATAGATCTCAATAGCGAGACATCCACTAATATACTAGTTTAGAGGATTATTGCAAGATCCTTTTTAAAAAGCATTTTTGACAGACAACGAACATAGTACGTCATTTGTCACCAAGTACATAAGTAATAACGTATATTGGCCACTAAGGGGGTTTACATGAACCTTTGTTATCCCGCTTTGTATACACAATGTACTTTAAGATTTTAATGAATGTGCCTTAAATGTACACTAAGCACCAAAACCACATTTTAATGTAGTAATTTTGGTGCATAAATGCAGTCCCTTTTCTCAGAAACTGTAAAACATTGCGGTTTCTGCCTAAAGCATGCCTCCAGTAGCGTTGAGAATGACAGTCACTAGAGGCACTACCTATTTAAGAACTTCGAAATGTATAATGACAGGGCAGCCCTGCATTTTAAAGAAAGGGGGGGAAAAAAAAAAGCATCAAAATTTTAAAACAAAATATATTTATTGATGATTCCTTTAAGAATGCCAAATAGGTGGGTGGGAAATTTGTAATACAATTTTTTTTAAAGAACATTTAAACTTTTAACAGTTTTTTTTTTCTATTTTTGACAGATACATTTTCTATGTTAGATATATACAAAAGTTTGGCAACTTCTATTTTGGTCTTTGACCTTGAACCACTTTAATGGTTATGTGTGTATTCATTACTGTTAAACGTGTGTATCTACTTTGTTAGAAATGCAGAGATTTTGAACAATTTTTTGTGTTTAGTTAGCCCTGCAATGGAAATGTTGGCATATCTACTAAACAGTCATGTTTTACATTGCGGGGCTAAAACAATAGAGATACTGCACCAAGGCCACTTCATTGAGCGTCTCTGTAATACTAATACTCTGAACAGTAGAAACCTACTATTTTCCATACAGCAAGTTTGGACATTGATTAGATTTTCAAATGGTTTGTTTACTGCTGCATGTTTAATTTAGAGGAGAAAAAAATATATAAAAACACAATAAGATGGTTAGGATAAGGCTTTAATTTACAAAAGGCACAAAAATGGATGTTAACAGCATATGAAATAAGTCAAACCAGAATTCCCAGCTCACCAAGCTTCCCAGAAATTGTTTGATCATGTAAGAATTGTATTAAAAACAAGAACAAAAATACCAAAAACTAGTTCAAACAGGAGGGTATTTTTTTTTTTTTTTTAACATTTTGCCATAAGATGTGAAGTTTTAGCAATGCACTCTATTTCACAAAAAGATTTCTTTAAAGTTGCACTATAACTCCGTGTTATCAAATCTTCTGTATTCTGTGATAGTCCTTCCTTAAAATCTGCTTACTCAATGACAGAGAAAAATCACCATTCTGTGGTTTCAAAAGAAAAACATTCTTTCTTATTGGCAACCATTTACAGCAATTAGAATAAAATAACCATGAAATAAAGAAACAATAACATGGGTTAAATAAGTTAAGTGTTGTTCCTACAAAAGTTTTCTCCCCTTCTTGATTTAGCACTAAAGCTGTGGCAAACTTTCAAAAAAAAGTTAGACGCTCTGTACCAAGGAAGCAGATTGTTTGTACACAGGCAAAATATCGGAGTAGGTTTACTAAGAGGTTATAAATTGAAGGGGAATAAACAATCCCTGTGCTAGTCTAAGGAGTTTATTTCCCCAATTGTAAACAAGGCCCCATGATGCAATAATGCAAGATATTTTACTTAGACTAATAATGTTACCCTCTACACGAGTTCATTGAATGTACAAACAAATTTTTGGGGAACTTTGTTACATGCAATGGGGAATCTAGAATACCATGCAATAATATTAGATGAATTTGTTACAATGCAACGTCCAAGTATTTTCGGATTTGTAGGTTATCCCAACAAAGAAGACCTCTAAAATTTAATAGGAATATTTTACAAAATTGTACATCAAGTACTGCCTGCGGAGGCGCTCTTCAGAAGTAAATGGAAATGTATATACAGTTATGAATTATTATATATACACAATTACTTTTGTACAGGTCAACAAAAGAGTCCGTTAACGAGAAAAACAAAGTGTATCTTCTATCATTCCTCATCAAAAAATAGACCATAATTCTTCAGAGGGTAGAGCGGGGGGAGGGTTGTGTTGTTTCATTGATAGCTAAATACAAGTTCACACAGTTTAGCGTTAGAACACGTGAAGGCTTTTCATTGTAAGATTTAATCTACTCCCAACGCTTTTAGTTGGCGCTCAATTTCATCATCGGAAATGGTGGAGGATTTAGCTGAAGATGCAGATGGTAATCCTTTGGCTGCCGATGGTGCTTTTGCCATCTATAAGAAAGAGGGGGGGAAAAAAAAGAATTTTAAACTAGAAGACCTAGATACAATAAGGCGTAATAAACTGTTGATCCATTGGCACTAAAATATTAATGATAATACTGGATTTTTCAGTATTTTATATAAAAAGTCTCTAGGTCACAATAAGACAGTATATGTCCTGGCATCAGTGGCAGGCAAACATATATTACTACACTGGATCCAAGAGGATTCCCCAACCATTCCTGTTTTCCAAACTCTAGCATGCTTTCTGTATAGATTGGTTGGTAATTCCTTTAACATACTATTGCAACAAAAAAAAAAAATCAAAACATACATTTCAACATACCAACTGGAATTTACATAAACTTTAGGTAATGCTCCCACCCCCATGCAGCATGGCCTCTTAACCCCTTTGACCATCATGGCCATCCAAGATCGATATGTCCTTTTTGCAATGTGATGTCAAAACTCATATCTTTTGGCCTTCTTTGTTTTTTTACGAACTCGGACATATATTATTTTGCTTTTAATTCTTATTCTATTTTACCTAATTATAGACTATGGCTATGAGGCTTTGTTTTGGCTTGTTAGGTTTTTCTTGTTTATGTTTTGATTTATTATGCCTTAAATGTACTGGAAATGTATCATTCCATCTCCTTTGAATATGTTTGTACTATGATGTCTATTTTATTTTCTTGATAATACTAAAATCACATTAGCTCCGACTTAACATGATCATCTTGTAACCTCGATTGTCAATCACTTCATAAAACTGCTTAAAATTAAGTCAATATGCTGAAGTCTTAAGATATGTTGACTCCTTTTATGAAAATATGCTATCTCCCTAAATTATGAAGGTAAATACTGTTAAAGTGTAAAAAAAACCAAAAAACTACCTGTGGGTAATCCCCCATCATCAGTGAGAGTAACAGCGGTCGTGTTTTTGGAGCTAATACACCAGCCCTTTATCGTTGTCTTTTGGGGCTCCTGGATCAGCTCATTTTCCCTTATTATTTTACTGTTAAAGTGTACATTTTTCACATGGCTTTATTGTGCATTGTTATGAATATGGTTTCACTTTGGCAAGTACTATGAGTCCTAGTGACTTTTTAGTAAGCATAAATCTTACTCCTGAACTCAGGACAGTCTGGCAAGCATAACAAAATAATAAAAAAAGAATAATAATATGTGTGCGTATGATAATTCCATCAGCAAGGTCTAGCTAAGTACAGAGCCTCAATTTAACCCTTTCAGGGTCAAAAACATGTCCGGCCACTTATGTTAATATGTGTTTTACCAATAATGGTTTGAACGTCAAGTTTTAACATCACACAAAATGTCTATATATTGATATTCTAGTTTTTAGAACTCACAAATATTATACCCATCTAGTTGAAAGGCATGTTAACTCTTATGTACTTTCTTTCTCTGTTAGTCATACATAAAAGAAAAAGTGAGATTTCAATTTGCAGTTTAAACTATATAAAACAAGTTGAAATAACAAAAAGTCACTGTAAAGATTAAAAATAAATATTATGAGGAAAAAGTAGTACCTTTCCCGAAATTTCAATTCCAATTTCATCCAACACCTGGTTGACAATATCTTGGCTTTCTTCTTCATCTTCAGACGCATCAAAAATATCATCCAATGTGTCGTTTACTAGTAAAAGGACAAAAATCAATTCAGTGAGATTTTCGTACTGCACACACAAATACATACAGGCATTTAAGAGAGAAATAGAATGAGAATAGATCCACAATAATCCCAAATAGTAATGTATTCTTTTTCAAGAAGTCTGTGGATGATGCCTGCTTGTTTTAGCAGGATTTCCAATGTAAATGCCTTGTTTACATTGCTGCTTTGTAGCATCTCTAATGTCAGTCACTCAGACGGCCAGTAGAGGTGCTTCCTGTGTCAGTGTTGCACACTCTGCATAAAGATTCTGCATGTTCCCCATAGAGATGCATCTCTAGGAGATGCTGATTGGTGCAGTGTGACGTTTTGCTGTGCATATGCAATAGTCTATCAATGCTCTTCTATTGGGAAAGTACTGGAGTTGCACAGATCAAGGTTGCTGATCTCCGCCATGGATGTGGAGCCTGGCAGGCCAGCCACAGCGAGATCGGCACGGAATGTGACAATAAGGGAGTCAAATCAACTTTTTACTGAGTTTGGAGGGGGGGACGTTCACCTAAAGCCACTTCAGGACTGACATGTTTGTAATCCTGACAGTATACTGTTCCTTTAAGTAGTATTCTGCTTTAATTTTTGGATGCAAGTCCTACTGATGGAGCAAGTACCATTTAAAGTGCATGCATTCTACAGCATGATTCCTTTATTTAGGGTTATGCATGTACAGCACTCCAATTACTGTCAGCTAGTTTTTCCCTTATCAGAGCTTAGCAAAAGGTTTTAAAACCCTCCTCATTTTAAATACCAGCAAATTATCAAATGGTAATAAAAACTTGAGTTAGGATTACAGAAAGCCCATGGGATGAGTTTTAATATTCATTATGCTAAATTCCTCATGACCCAAATACATTTTCTTTCTTTACACTGAGCATGTCAAATTCCCTTTCAAACAGAATGCTACTCTAATATAACACTTAACTTGGTAAGTGCTACTCTTTATAAAAACAAATTGAATGCCTTTGATATGCAGGTGTTTTTTTTAGAAGGCTGTTCCCAAATTTAAAATTGATTGCAAATCTGAGAGGTAAGACCGCATTTATCTCCTCAAATACAGTGGATCCTGAGATGTATCTAGTACAATCTACAATTTTTATAAATCATCTGATGTCTGTTCTGTTATACTGTTATACAATGCATTGTTTTCGTGTTGTGTATATCCATTTTGGATGTTCATACCATTACAGTCTATACACACTCTACCCAAATACATTCCTACATTTACACACACTCTATACATATTTATTGCTATATCCATACACATTGACGTGACACACAAAAAAATTCTGCTCACAAATAGACTGGATATTAATTTTAGGTCTAGCTACTAAAGACTTTAGGTTTTGTGATGAGGGAGGGCAGTCTATATTTAACTCTAAACATACCTCTACATGTATAATACACCCGACTTGTGTTTTGTTGAAAATATAAAATTACAAAGTATTTATCAACCAAAAATGCCAAACCTGAAAGCACCAGCAATCCTACAAATGTGAGCAGTGCTCTGGCACAGGAACTAAACAGCAACACTTTTGTCATGTCTTGTATAAAAGTAGATTATGCAGGCTGACTTTCAACAATAAGTGCCCCAAAAATTTCACTTCAATTGTACAAATACTTCTGCATAGCTTCTAAATTATGTATAGATAGTTCTCCTTAAAGTTATAGAATAAGTCATATCTTTATCTTTGATGACAAAGACCATTCTTTTGCCAGAAGCTTAAAAGTGAAGTTCAACTATTTTACCTGTAGGAGGAGCCAGTACGTTTTGTTGCACAACAGTGATGAAGCATACAGATAATACATATATTCTCGCGCTCAATCAACTACATTTACAACATAGAACAATTGCATTTGTATTGTGAAAGTATGTGACTTACTCATTTCTTCTGTCATTTCCATTTTCATATTTTCCTTCTGGAAATTCTGCATTGTTTGGAGAGTTTTCTGTGGGTCCATTTTTTTGTTCACTGCTTGCATAGTCTATACAATAAAATTTCAGAAGATGCAACTTTTATCTTATGTATTTAGTATAACATAATTAATATATCTTATGTTTTTTTTTTTTTTTTTCCAACATATAAATCTTTGTTCTAGTGACAAATACAGTGGTGAAACTGGGGCTAAATCTGTGTGTTTGGAGTGAGAGCACCAGACAAACGTGCGAGTTTGTTTATATTTGCAGTTAAAAGGGGGTATTATTAGCTTTGCAAAAAAAATAAGAAGCATCTAACCCACCAACAGTTCATGCTTTCAGGACCTATACATTATGTTGATTACCTGTTTAAGATGAGCTTTAAGAATAAGCCACCATTAAGGGGTATGGCATATAGTATTGCCAATCGTGATGTAGGACATAAATCTATAACACAAACCCAGTGTACAAACTGCACTCAAAGAAAATAATGTAAATTCCCTCATAGCAGGACAAGGTTGTCTATCGAGTTTCATATTAAACTAATACTTATTCAAAGGTTTGACGATTGGTTGTTTTACAAAACATGGTATTAACTGACAAATACAAATGAGAAATAATACAATCTATGGACGAGATAACCAACAATTGTCAGATTATTTTTCTAATCACTGGTCACATGGCAAATTAGAACCAAAAACTGAACTAACAGAGATCCTCTATATCAGGTTCATAAATTATTCTGATAGAAGTCAACTGTTATGGCCCAGTTCTCACCTTTGCTGTTGTGGACATTGCACCTGCCATCTTCATCTGTGAGCTCATGACCTTCGTCTGTGTGGACATCGATGTAACCTTTGAACTAACAGCATACGTTCGAGTTTTCTGTTTCCGAAGTTGCACAAGTTGTTTTGCAAGAACGCGGCACGCATCTTTGTTACCAGTTTTTGCCATCTTTTTAATTTCCATTTCCTAGTAAATCAAAAATACTATTAAATCATAAAAAAAAAAAAAAAAAAAGCTACATGTTATTAAACAGTCATTCTAAGCACCAAAACCACTACAGTGTAACAAAATGGTTCTGGGGCAATCTCAGCAGTGTTAATGATGCAGTTTCCAAGAAAATCTTCTAGACTAGAGGGTATTCCGAGCAAGGTCCTGTAAAGATTGCAGAATCGGTGTTCTGCATCTCCTGTCTGAATGCATCTCTAAAAGGAGATGCTGAATGATGCAACGCTGCCACATCGTCACTAAGAATCTCATATGGGGCAGAGAGGCAGTTACACAGAAACCGGTGCATCGATGGACAACAGGTAAGTAAAAAAGGCTTTGTGCTCCCCCTTTCAGAAAATTAAACAATCTAACTATACAGCAAAACACTAATGTTAGAAATACATGTTTTCCTAACAGAGCGTTCCTTTAACTTTGCCCTTTAGAATGTTTGATGCAATGAGAAAACAAGCTGCCAAAGTGAGTGACTTTTTTTTAATTTATTTATTTCCATCTTTGGCCTTTCATCTATTTCTAACACAGCATAGTCTGTTATATAACTTTGAAATAAAAATAAGTTTATGTAAAAATAAAAAACGACCAAACTATTTAATACCGAATTTAACTGCATTTGATAGGTCGTCTTTAAGTTGAGGACCATTTATAAAAATAAATACATTATCCACTGGCCCATTCTTTTAATCACTATCAAAGATTATCCTTTTTTTGCCACTTTCCAGTCTCGACCACTAGCCCTTTAGATATACTTATTGTTTACCTTGATAGCCTTTAGCATGTCTATTTTATTTCTGCCCTTCAATTATTTGTTCTCACAAATGCTTATCCTTGCTTTCTCACTTGATGTCTTTACTGATGGGATAATATGAAACTGGAGCATGTTTTATTTAATAATTTTGTAAAATGCTGCAATTCTTCTTTAGGTGAGTGCTAAGTTACTTAAAATACAGATTGATGAACTACATGCGGAGAGGAAATAAAGTGAAGAAGCACCAATATATTTAAGAGTTTAATGCAAGATTAAGTACTGCTCTCAATGTAGGTGGAAGGGAATACAGCACAAAAGTAAAGTAGTAAATATAAAAAAATAAATAAAAAAAAATTCAGCGCAATGTCTCTACATCTCCTGGGATTTGCCAGACTTTGAGTTAACGTTTTATTTCTTTAACATTAGACCTAATGATGTCTAGGATGTCTAAAAAGCCAGGTGATAATCAGCCAGATGATAAACTGTCTTCACGATACAATCCGGTCATCATTCCTATTACAAGTCATGGCTCCAAGGAAGAAAGCAGCATCAAAATGAAGAAAAACAAGGGGTTGTAAAAATGTGCACCACTTCACAAATATATCAAGACATCATGGGGATTAGTAATGAGGCTCAGTACAACTCATAGATGCTCTTACACTTAAGTGTGCTATAAATTCAATTACATACCTTTTGTCTACGGCAACAAATGAAGATTGCAAGCAAAAGGGAATAAAGCACTTTAATGTGCTTTGTCCAGAGTTGCTCAGAGTTCTTCCCTTTGTTTAGGTTACTCTTGATTTAACACAATTCTCTGTGAAAGCCAAGGTGTAAATACCTATTACAGCAGACAGTATCAATGGCTCTTACCAGCTGTTTCTCTTGTTTCTCCAGGGCTGCTCGATCTCGGGTAATAGCCCTCTGTGTGCCTCTTAGCTCCTTATTCTGCTCCTTTATTATATCTGAGGGGATAAGGAAGTGAAATAGCTTAGAAAATAAAACCACTCACTACACGCCTGGCTAAACTCAGCACTGTCTACATTACATGCATTTCATGTTTCTTATACCAATGTTCTGCACGTGTTTTAAACTCCAGGAAAAGTAGGAAAATAATGAACTGAGAAGGAAATATTCTTAATTCCACTAAGGGTTAATGCAGACTGCTAAAATGTGTAATGTCAGATGTATAATCCTTACCGAGAGCATTAATATCCAGCAACATGATCCGATCAAGCTCAATGCTGACTTGCAAGTATGAATATTTAATAGATAAAATATCCAATATTTCAGAACGAACGGTTTAAAAATGCAGGTTTTATATGTCTGCACTGAACATCTAATGGAAAAACGGGATGTCTACAAAGCACTAATGTAACCGTCAGTGTTGCAGTATTAGCAAAGTAAATCTACTTTTCATGCATATGCATTTTATTGCCAGAATACTTGGAAAAGGCATCAGCCAGGCATGGTGTGGAATGAAAAGCACAATGACTGCTTGTAATGAGAAGTAACTTGCTTGGGGTTTTAAAGTTAAACGTGTACAGATTCTGAGGTTTCGATTAACTTCTTGATTAAACTCAACAATAAACAGAGCAGTTTATAATTAGGCCTTAAATGTGACACAAAAAGTGGCAAATATTTGGAATGTGGACAATTCATTCTTCAACCACATATCAGTAACACTTACTCCTTACATGTGCAATTACAAAAATTCCATTTGAGGAAAAACCTAACACTCATTACGTGTATATTAAAGGGACACTCATTTGATAAAAAAATAAAAATGATTAACCTCTATTTACGAGATATATAGGATCAATGAAAACAAGCATGAATTTCATTATGTATTTTGAATTGGGGTCTAAAAACAGCTTGCAAAAGCTGCAGATCGTGTTTGCAGCCTTTTTGCAAACCCTTCCCTTAACAACCAGCACATCCCAATGCAGCTCAATTAGAAGTCTTTTCAATGTAGGTGTTCTAAGCCTGGGGTCAGCAACCTATGGGACTCAAGACTGCCAGCGCCAAACAACCCTGGCCTATCAGTAGGACTTTAGATTTCTGCTAGTGCAACCCGAGCTGTGATTGCAGGTGTTGAGAGACAATCCTCAATTTACACATTACAGCACTTAGAGGAAGTGATATCAGATCACTTTCTCCCTGCCTTGTGAAGAGGAGTCCGCAGCAGCTATCCCAGCTCCTGCCTTGACCTGTACCTGACCATCCCAGTCCTCCACTGGACCCTCGGGAAGCCACCCACACTGCTTCATATGCAAAGAGCTGCACAAGAATCCTCCCCTTCATACAAATATCCCACACACAAAGAGTCACAAACAACACCACTGACAATTCACATACAGAACCCCACAAGCAGTCTCTCACATTACAGACAGCAGTGTTACATGTAGGAACAATAAAGCCGAGTAGAAACTGCAGTCATTGAGAGATTAGCCCCAAGGAGAAATCAGGTCTCCAGAGCTTATAAGAATTGAACAGGTTCAATAAGACACTTTTGGTCAGACTTGTTTTCTTAAGCATGCCTTTTGGTAATTTCAAAGCTAAAGGGGCACGATTACATGACAGCTCCCACACAACTTAGAAGCCAGTGCCAAAAGCCTGGAAAAAATTCACCATTCCACTGAGTGCCCAAAAATGTAAAGCAATGGTCTGGGAGGTCCTCTGCAGCACAAAAGGGGATATTTCTCAAAGTGTTCTAAAAATAAATTTTAAAAAAGAGGTTAAATTCCACAGCGCTTTACAATAAGAGGGAAATTTACCAAATGAGACAATAACAAAGTGTAACAGGAACAATGGGTAATTGAGGATCCTGCTCAAACGATCTTACAATCTAGAGGAGGTGGGGTATAAAAACTCAATAGTAAGGGTATTGAGGGAGACAGCAAATTGACATGGTGGGAAAGTAGCAGAACTGGAGGTGAGAGTGGAGTGTGGCCCTTTAGGAGAGAGCAAGAGGAAGGTTTGAGAGATATAAGTTACTCTTGGAGGCCATAAGCAATCCTGAAAAGATGGGTTTTGAGGGACTTCATAAAGGATTGAAGACTAGGGGAGAGTCTGACCAGGGTAGGCAGGCTATTCCAAAGTAAATGAGCCGCCCGTGAGAAATCTTGCAGGCGTGAATTTGCAGTAAGGGTGCAAGCAGCAGTCAGGATATGGTCACCAGTAGAGTGGAGAGACCGAGTGGTGGCATACCTATGAATCAGTGAAGAAATGTAAGAGGGACTGTGACGAGACCAATCTCGCCACTGTGCATTGGAGGAGCCTGGTTGCCTGCCTGCTGCCTTTTGACTATGGACCGGCATTTAAATACTTTATTTTCCTATGCAGAAAGTAGGGATCGACTGATATAGATTTTTTAGAGCCGATACCAATACCGATATTCTGTGAACTTTCAGGCCGATAGCCGATATAATTTGCCGATATTCTGTACATTTACCATTTTGGAAAATAAAAACTATTTCTAAAGGTAAATGCACAAAATATACATGCCACATGTAGTGGATGCAGTGTGTTTAGACAGGGGAGCTGTGTGTGTTTGTGTAGTGTGTGTAGTGGATGCAGTGTGTGTTTGTGTATGTGTGTGTTTGTGTAGTGTGTGTTGAGGATGCAATGTGTGTTTGTGTAGTGGATGCAGTGTGTATTTGTCGAGTGTGTGTAGTGGATGCAGTGTGTATTAGTGTAGTGTGTATATAATGAAAGCAGAGTGTTTGTGTAGTGTGTGGGTAGTGTGCATAAAGTGAATGCTGTATATACTAAATGCAAAGTGTGTGTGTATATAATGAATGCAGAGTGTGTGTATAGTGAATGTAGTGTGTTTATATAATGCAGAGTGTGTGTGTTTGTATAGTGTGTGTATATAATGCAGTGTTTGTGTAGTGTGCATTATATAAACACACTACACAAACACACTGCATTATATACACAAACTACGCAAACACTGCATTATATACACACACTACACAAACACACTGCATTATATACAGTGTGTTTGTGTAGTGTGTGTGTATATAATGCAGTGTGTGTTTGTATAGTGTGTGTATATAATGCAGTGTTTGTGTGTAGTGTGTGTATATAATACAGTGTGTGTTTGTATAGTGTGTGTATATAATGCAGTGTTTGTGTGTATATAATACAGTGTGTGTATTTAATACAGTGTGTTGGATAGTGTGTGTATATAATGCAGTGTGTGTATTTGTGTGCATTGTATACACACACTGCATTATATACACACACACTGCATTATATACACAGTGTGTTTGTGTACTGTATGTGTATATAATGGAGTGTGTGTGAGGGGGCATTTTTTTTATTATTATTTTTTTAGATGTAATTATTTTTTGTTTGTTGTCCCCCCTCCCTGCTTGTTGCCTGGCCAGGGAGGGGGGACAACAAGCAGGGAGGGGGGACAGTACCTGGTGGTCCAGTGGTATTGGCTGAGCTCTGGAGGGGAGCGGGCATCAAGCGCTTACTCACTTCCCAGCAGCTCCTCCAGCTCCCCAGTGCAACTCTCGCGGCCAGCGTGTCGCGCGGAGCGTTGCCATGGTGACCCATGGCAACGCCCTGACGGCCGCGGGTCTCGCGAGAGTTACATTGGGGAGCTGGAGGAGCTGCTGGGAGGTGAGTAAGCGCTTGATGCCCGCTCCCCCCAGGACCGCCGGGCTTGTAATGAGCCTGGCGGTCCTAGGAGGTATTATCGGCAATATCTGTATCTGAATTGGCCGATACAGATATTGCCGAAAATACAGAATATCGGCCGATTATATCGGTAAAACCGATAATCGGTCGATCCCTAGCAGAAAGGTCTATTCCTGTATTTCTGCCCTGGCGTTCGGTAGATTCTCGGATTTACTGAATGAACTAATTTAACCCAGATAGCCTTGGAGCCTATTCGTGTAATAAAAGACTTTGGCTCCATGGCGATTGAACTGTATGTGTGTGGTCTGAGCACCATTCAGTAATAATGTGCGCTCAGACCTAAGCTATCTGGGGATATGTTGCATGTCTGTATTTTATGTAATAAATGTAATCTTGTGTGTTTTACTGTCTTTTTACTGCCATGTGTTCAATGGAGTTTTGCCTCTGTCCTTGGATATAATTGGATTACTTCCCAATTATCTCCAGGATAGAAGACACTGTGGAACTGGTTTTGGGCAGAAAAGCCATGCTTCATTTGGTCACAAAGGACTTCGATCTATCTTTTGAACCAATGGACCAAGTTGGATTATTCTGACATATGTTTGTATTTGGAGTATGCTGATTCTGAAAATGTAAGTGAATGTGATGCATACTTTTCAAGTTATGAATAATGTGGAAAAACTGTATTTCTCTGTCTGTGATAATTACATTACCCATTGTGTAAGGTAATTGTATCACAGGCAGAGGGGAGGATTTTGTGTGGGAGTGTCTGAGTGTATTGTACGTGATTATTGGTTGTTTTCCAAAACCCTGTGGGTGGTACCAATGTGTATGAATGTGTATATAAGAACAATAAACCCACAGCTCTGTCTGTTCACTGCTTGACCCTCAACACGGAGCTTTGTCTCGTTCTTGGGGGGATTTACTGTTTGCTGTTAGAGACTGATTGCCAGGAGTGTAAGCTGCTTGGGTACTTTTCCTGTTCAGCTGCTAGCAGCTATTCGTGAGGTTCCAGTTCGGGAGTTTGGGGTTCTGCAGTAGCTGTGCCTGTGTCTCTGGAAGGGGAAGATCTACTAAACGGCGGTTTAACCCTTTTATGCCTGTGGGTGCCATTACAGGGACTATAGTTGGTTAGGGCTTTATAGGCAACGGTTAGTATTTAAATTGACACCTGTAGGGTACAGGAAGCCAGTGTAAGGATTAATAGAGAGGTGAGGTGTGAGAGGAGCGACAGGAAAGAAAAATCAGCCTGGCAGCAGCATTCATCACAGATTGTACGGGGGCAGTATGGCTTCTTGGGAGACCAATTCGGAGAGAATTACAGTAATCCATGCAAGATTACTAGATCATGAAAAAGCTCCTTGGCAGCATCTTGCGTAAGAAAGGGGCGTTTGCAGGCAATGTTTTTAAGTTGGAATCAACAGGTTTTAGCAACAGACTGGACATGAGGCGCAAAGGTGAAGTCAGGATCAAACGGGACACCAAGACAGCGAGCTTGAAAGGATGGGGTGAGGCAGGTACCGTCAACTTGCAGGCAGAGTGAAGGAGGAGTATCAGTGTTATGAGGAGGAAAAATAAGAAACTCAGTTTTTACAGATATTGAGTTTCAGAAAGCGGGAGGACATCCAATCAGAGATAGAAAAAAGAGGCAATTGGTGACACATTGTTGGACAGCAGGAGAGAGGTCAGGGGAGGAGAGGCATATCTGGGTGTCATCGGTATACAGGTGGTAGTGGAAACCATATGAATTAATGATTTTGCCAAGAGAGGCAGTATAGACCAAGAACTGGACCAAGAACTGAACCTTGAAGGACTCCAACTGAGACAGGACGAGGAGAGGAGGTGTCATTAGAAAAAGAGACACTGAAGGAACATTGGGATGGTTGTGTCACAGAGACCAAAAGATTGAAGAGTTAGGAGAAGGAGGCCATGATCAACAGTGTCAAAAGCAGCAGAAAGGTCAAGAAGAATGAGTATTGTAGTGGCCTTTGAATTTAGCTGTGGTTAGGTCATTTGTAACTTTAATAAGAGCAGTCTTAGTAGAGTGGAGGGGGGCGAAAGCCAGAATGAAGAGGATCGAGGAGGGAGTTTGAATTTAGGAAGTGAGACATATGAGTCAAGACAAGTCTTTCTAGAAGTTTTGAGGACAAAAGGAAGCAGGGATATGGGACAATAGTTGGAATGGGAAGATGGGTCTAGGGATGGCTTATCTGGGATGGGTATGACAGAAGCATGTTTAAGGGGAGCAGGGACAACACCAGATGAAAGAGAGCAGTTTGGGATGTGTGTTAAGGATGGTACAAGACAAGGGGAGAGAGATCTGATAAGGTGGGAAGGTACTGGATCAAGTGGACAGGTGGTTAGACGAGAGGAGAAGTCACCTCCTGTTCTGTAGCTGGGAAGAAGGTCTGTAGTGAAGGGAAGGTACAGTCGATGTGTGGAGCAAAGGGGGGAGAATTCTTTCCTTAGCTGTTTAATCTTGTCGGTAAAGTAGCATGCAAGGCTATCTGCTGAAAGGTCAGTTTGAAGGGTGGCTTGAGGTGGGCGACGACTGGGATTGTGTGAGCATAAACAAATGAGAGATGAAAAGTAGGATTGCTTAGTAAGAGTGAGGACTGTGCTATATGAAGACAAAATTAATTTATAAGGGAGGAAGTCTGACAAGGTGCAGGCCTTCCTTCAGCAGTGTTCAGCTGTACAGGAGCATCTCTGCAGGTAGCGTATTGACTTAGTGAGCCACGATTGGAGTGCGTGCCTGGAGTGGGGCTGCAGCGTCTAGAGGTGAGAGTAGTGTTATGAGGAGATAGCCAGAGAGGGACGGAAGAGGGTAGGGATGGATGAGAGTTCAGAATGGATTACAGTTGAGAGCTGCTGGAGATCAAGAGAATTAAATTCCTCCTGAGTTGAGGGGGATTAGGTTGATGATATTGGGTGTGAGGGCACTCAAGAACAAATGATAGTAGGTGGTGGTCTGGTAGAGGAAATGGAGTATTACAGAGATTGGAGACGGAGCATGCATTTTAAAAAATAAGATCTAGAGTATTGCCAGCTACATATCTGGGAGAATTAGCCCATTGCGATAGGCCAAAGGAGGAGGTGATTGAAATAAGTTTTGAGGCTACCAAGGATAAGGGTGGGTTTATTGCATGGGGTTGTGCGTAAACTGTAGACCACCATAGGATAATGAGGCAAGAGTAGCTGTGTCAGAAGGAGAGAGCCAAGTTTCAGTTAAAGCAAGTACGTTAAGAGAGTGTGAGATGAATGGTTTGGAGAGACATAACCAGCTGCCAGGAGCAAAAGCATAGAAAGTAAGAGTCAATTCAAAAATTTCCATATCAAGACAGCAAAATTTATAGTGGCAAAAAAATACCACCAGTTGTAAAAATTGGCAGAAATATTCATAAATTAATTTGCCTGTAAAAATGAAATAAAATAACATATACAGGGAGTGCAGAATTATTAGGCAAGTTGTATTTTTGAGGATTAATTTTATTATTGAACAACAACCATGTTCTCAATGAACCCAAAAAACTCATTAATATCAAAGCTGAATATTTTTGGAAGTAGTTTTTAGTTTGTTTTTAGTTATAGCTATGTTAGGGGGATATCTGTGTGTGCAGGTGACTATTACTGTGCATAATTATTAGGCAACTTAACAAAAAACAAATATATACCCATTTCAATTATTTATTATTACCAGTGAAACCAATATAACATCTCAACATTCACAAATATACATTTCTGACATTCAAAAACAAAACAAAAACAAATCAGTGACCAATATAGCCACCTTTCTTTGCAAGGACACTCAAAAGCCTGCCATCCATGGATTCTGTCAGTGTTTTGATCTGTTCACCATCAACATTGCGTGCAGCAGCAACCACAGCCTCCCAGACACTGTTCAGAGAGGTGTACTGTTTTCCCTCCTTGTAAATCTCACATTTGATGATGGACCACAGGTTCTCAATGGGGTTCAGATCAGGTGAACAAGGAGGCCATGTCATTAGATTTTCTTCTTTTATACCCTTTCTTGCCAGCCACGCTGTGGAGTACTTGGACGCGTGTGATGGAGCATTGTCCTGCATGAAAATCATGTTTTTCTTGAAGGATGCAGACTTCTTCCTGTACCACTGCTTGAAGAAGGTGTCTTCCAGGAACTGGCAGTAGGACTGGGAGTTGAGCTTGACTCCATCCTCAACCCGAAAAGGCCCCACAAGCTCATCTTTGATGATACCAGCCCAAACCAGTACTCCACCTCCACCTTGCTGGCGTCTGAGTCGGACTGGAGCTCTCTGCCCTTTACCAATCCAGCCACGGGCCCATCCATCTGGCCCATCAAGACTCACTCTCATTTCATCAGTCCATAAAACCTTAGAAAAATCAGTCTTGAGATATTTCTTGGCCCAGTCTTGATGTTTCAGCTTGTGTGTCTTGTTCAGTGGTGGTCGTCTTTCAGCCTTTCTTACCTTGGCCATGTCTCTGAGTATTGCACACCTTGTGCTTTTGGGCACTCCAGTGATGTTGCAGCTCTGAAATATGGCCAAACTGGTGGCAAGTGGCATCGTGGCAGCTGCACGCTTGACTTTTCTCAGTTCATGGGCAGTTATTTTGCGCCTTGGTTTTTCCACACGCTTCTTGCGACCCTGTTGACTATTTTGAATGAAACGCTTGATTGTTCGATGATCACGCTTCAGAAGCTTTGCAATTTTAAGAGTGCTGCATCCCTCTGCAAGATATCTCACTATTTCTGACTTTTCTGAGCCTGTCAAGTCCTTCTTTTGACCCATTTTGCCAAAGGAAAGGAAGTTGCCTAATAATTATGCACACCTGATATAGGGTGTTGATGTCATTAGACCACACCCCTTCTCATTACAGAGATGCACATCACCTAATATGCTTAATTGGTAGTAGGCTTTCGAGCCTATACAGCTTGGAGTAAGACAACATGCATAAAGAGGATGATGTGGTCAAAATACTAATTTGCCTAATAATTCTGCACTCCCTGTACAGTATTAAAATATGAGGGTTAGGGTGCAAAAAATGCAACAGATGGAAAAATCCGGCAGATTTAATAAATTGCCAAAATGTCACAGACGGAAAAGTGTCAGCAACACTTTGATAAATCTCCCCAATCACTATATCAGTCAATTACACACACACAATATGCACACATACATTTGACTCTCACTGCTCACTTCAGTCAGCAGTGAGAAGATTAAAGGGTTTCTTTAAGTCTTTTGTAAAAAATAAGTCGTTACTGGGCATTTTTCATTAGGTCCCACTCTTAGACCGTATCACTAGCTCAAAGCACATACGTGTGCAGGAGGGGCGGATATTGATGATGGTAGGGGATATAAAAAACTTTAAAACAGAATAACTTTTACTGAAGGGAAGTGGGGGAGGAGAGGTAAGAAGGGGACATTGAAGCTCCCCCTTTCAGGGGAACTGCCTGTAAGGGTAGAAGCAGAGTATTTTTTGCATAGAATTGTCAGAGTTCCAGGGCTGCATAAATCATGTGTGCCAGGGGTGCAACTGGCCCTCAGCACAACACTGCAAATGTCTCTGGATGAGTTGCATTTTAAGCTGAAACGCAGCACATACAGTTTCTAACCAGTTTCTGGTTTTAATAGGACTGGTGTCTCTGAATTCTACTATAGCAGAAAACGATTCTAGGATCCACTCTCATACAAGTTGTATCATGTCAGAGAGCTTTGTGTCTAGATGTAACAAGCTGACTCTACTTTTACAGTAAGAGCAAAAAGCATGCTCCCATACAGACCATAAGGTCAAATCAGGTAGGGAAAGTCTCAATGTTGATTTCCATTTCTTCATTATCCTTAAGATATAGAACCATGCATTTGTCAAGACCATCATTACTAGAGGTTTAGCTTTGAATTACATGTACAGACTATTAACAAAAACACAAGCACTAAAAAAGTTCTAAAGCCAGAGCAAATCTACCAAGATTTTCAGACAAATGCAATTGTGTTGGTGCCCAGAATGTAAATTAATAATAAAAAAACAAAAACAAAAAAAAACACACTTCAGCTCACTATAATAGTTATGATGCCAGGAGTGTCCTGGCACCCCCTCCACCTATCTTAAGGCATAAAACCATTTTTGAAGGGTTTGAGATCTCACATGTGGTTTGCCAAGCACCGCTCCTGCCTCCACTACAAATCAGCCGAGAGACTGAAGTTCCTCAGCATGAACTTTAGTTAGTTTGTTGGCTGAGAACCACCAACTGACGCGCTCAGTCAATAAGCTTAGGGCATACCTCAAGCTCGGCAGATGGCAGAAGAGGAGGAGAATAGTGCCTGGCAGTAAGTAGTCACACCATCAAAAGTGTAGTGATATCTAGAGTGCCTGGAGTGTTCCTTTCAGTTGCCAAAGTAATTTACCCACACTCTTAACAGCCTATCTGGGGTATGCTGGGTGCCAGTCAATTCACATAAAGAACTGGAGGCTCCAGCTAGGAGTTCCTGTAGTCCTTTTGACCCATCCAGATCAAGCTCTTCAGCTAAGAGAATCAGCTGATTGTTCTCCGTCAATAACCAAGTGCAGCACAAATTGGGATAGCTTAATGCAGAGAGCATCCAGATAGCATAGAGGAGCGGATTGGTGGATGGGAGACCCCCAGTAAGTTGTCAAATTGTTGGCAAATGGTGTGACTATTTATTACTAATTACTTACAAGGCAGAGGGGAACCACGGCAATATTGTAGTGGCTATGCAGCTTATAGTATTCTTTTAAGATACAAGGATAATCAGAAAAGTTGAAAGGAAAAACAAAAAAATATCAAAAAACACTTCTACTGGCATAATCGTAAAATGCACATTTTACTACAGGTTATTTAACTCCCTCTCAAATCTCATTCACTCAAAACCTATTATTTTTATCTACCAATCTTTATTGACTTCTATCCAGCGTTCCCACAACCAGCCTGACACTCCATCTGTAGCTCAACCAACTCTGTATGCCCCACTGGCACTGGAAACTAACCCGTAAAACAACAGCCATGACATGTAGTTCATCAACTGGCATCAGTTCCAGTCAGTTAACTGCTGTCAAAACTAATGGCAGCAGCATTACAACCAACTGTTTTCTGACCACTCCATTCACAATTTTATGTGAATGCTATTGTAGCCGCAATTGTGTCTACATCATAGTATGCTGTGACGGAGAGTGGGGGGAAGTGAAGAAATGTAAGGTATTGTAGCGGAGCTCCGATACTACAGCTAGGTATCTCCGCTGCTCCTTCCTCAAAGCTGAAAGAAGCACTGTAATAACCAAATATCTTTGCCCCAGTAACTATAAGACACATAGCTCTGGGAGTCAACTGCGCTTTATTTGGCCACACATGGCTTTTATGCACGGCCCCTAATAGTAGTCTGTGTCTGAGAGATATTTGAACCCAATATAAGATAACTAAATTATCTCTGTTACAGGAACGAACATAAAATATTACAAAATACATCAAAATAATACCAAAATCCAACAAAAGTCATATATCCCCTCAGAAGTCTGAGCGCACACTTTGTTGAAATAGCGCTCAGATCCCTTCGGTTGATTGGGATCGCCATTGGAATGAAGTTTTGACCGGTCGACTATGAGGTGATGTCAATAAATAGTTCCACAGAAAACAATGCAACGACCAGTCATCTTTCACAGGTATCCATATGAACACTGACGAATGATCCCCTCTGGCTGATAGGGTGTGAATGCTCCCCCTGTTAAGTAGTTCCTGTATCCTGAACGCCATTCTCCTAACTGTTCGGGAAGTTGGACGGGCAGCGGTACAAGTTTCCCGGTTATTCACGGGGTTGCATAGCCGACATACAGTTCCACACACTCGACGACCATGTACCGCTACCTGCGTTAGAGAGACAAAACGGCACAGAGAAAGCACTTGAACTAATTGCTAATTTGTGGTTAACAGCCAGGGGTGGTCGGTGATTATGAGTAGTTAACAAGGGGACCAAACAAAGTTGGTTTGGTAAACGAACGAAGGGTGTGCGGACAGTCGAAAAAAAGAAATAAAAGCTTATTTAACTCATCCTTTCTGCTACCGGTATGTACCTACCAACATGGTGCACGCTGTTTAATATTTGGATGTGAAGGAAAAAGATAAATTACTAGGCATCATGTTTTACTAGCATTTATCAACAACTGTCTTAAAACGATTCCAATTTTAAGAGGCTCTGTAGTGGTTCTGATGCCAGGTGTGCCCTGGTGCCACCACTACCAGTGTAAGCAAGTCATTTAGAAATGGTTTGTCAACTTATCTGAGGTTTGCCAAGCATGTACTGCTGCCCCTCTGGAGCCAGAAGCTCCTGCAAGGTGTTTCCATTAGCTCCACAAACTCATTACTGAGTGTCAACTGACTGAGCTTAGATCGATGCAGGAGCTTTCAGGGCAGAGGAGGCAGCTGAGAATAGACTGTAGACCCCTAGTAAGTGGTCTAACCGTTCTTAAATGGTTTGACACCATGGTACTCCTAGCACCATTACCAATACAGGCTGGAGTAGTTCTGATGCTTGGAGTGTTCCTTAAATTATGTGTGTTCCTGCTGAGGTTTATGCACAACATGACATTCTTCTCAACGTGACAACAATCCTGGTTCATAAAATCCTGGGAAAACTCAGAAGATGAAGTCAAATTTGTAAAGACCTGCTATAGCTTTCTTTTTGAGATTTAATTATCACAACATAAGGAAAAAAACATAGCGTTACATTCCATCTGCAGTTATTTTACAGGCTGTATTTGGCCAAACCACAATATCACAGATATTAGATTCATTTATCCCATTGCTGATACTGAACTGACATAAATAGAAGCTGCTGCAGACTGCAACACAATTAGCCCCCTCCTAAATGTTCCAGTGTGTCTGCTTCTAGCCTTCCTTTGAGATAGATGCTGCAGTTTTAACATGGCACATGAACTTTAAATGTATGCACATCTTCCCAAAGTAGAAGTTTGATTGAGCAGCATAACAAAACATTAGAATGAACGTGAACATTTTAAGTGAATATTTTTATGTACGTTGGTAAATCGTTGTGGCTCTAGCTTTACACTATATCACAATCACCTTTAACAAAGACAATTTAACTAAAATGTAAAAATGGTATTGTGTTCTTCCTAAGCTGGACTGCACTGTGGCAATGTGATTCTGGACTTACTACAATATCCAATGTAGTAAGTGCTACCTAGACTAGATGTCATTAGGCTTAAAAAGCTATGGAATAATTTAGAGTGTTTTATGAGTGTCAGACAAGCAGTATGTTTTGGTTTGTTTAAATGTGATCATGTCACTTTTCTATGACAACAGGTTTTTGAAGAGGCATTCCAATAATATTTACTGTTAATCAACAAAAATGACAATATTGGAAAAGATTATCCAATACTTTTTTTTTTTCCTGCTCGCTACCAGATCAGTAATTTGAAGACTACATAAGTATAGTAGTCTTTACATTTTATTTAACATAATTAGACAGTGCTTTGATTGCATTAATCCTTATTTAACCACGTGCACAATAATATGCATGATACGAGTGCGTCATTCACTGAATGAGTCAATATTTGGGATCAACCTCTTTTTCGATCACCTGACCAGTGCCTCACGTAACTGATGTCATTGCGTCTCTTCCTGTATTCAAGTTTCTAAAAATAGAACTTTAAACTAGTATAGGTGAGAGGCAAGGAGTGTCTGGTACCTGGAAGACTAATGAAGAACTTAAAGGGGAAATTACACATTTGTTTTACATTTTTCAGTGTGTATACAGCTAGATAGCTGGAAGTAATTATTGCTTTAATATCTAAGAATAAGCTATCTTAATTTGCTGCGCAATGATAGTACATTCACGTAATTATACGAATAATCTCAGCAATGCCAAGAACTTGCTGTTTGAGTTAAAAAAAGAAAGAAAATCGCATTCAGAGAGAAAGAACAGCATTGTCTACTCTGTAAAATTAGTATTTCTGAAAACACACACTTTATTATTGGATTCTATTTCCATAAAAAAGCTGCATGTATAGTGCAAGCTTAATTAATTAATCCACTGTATTTATAAATACCTTCTCTGCTGGGTGACTATTCTATGCAACAGGGAATCTTTTGGAGAAAACATTTTCTAGTGTTAACCTTATAAGTCTCATTGAAAAGCAAAGTCAGGCTGTAGAAAAAGAAGCATTACTCACATGCATTAACTGTTTGGCACAATATAATTATTGTAAGTTTTTTTTATAAAAAATAAGATACCCCAAGTATAGTGTATATAACTAGATAAGCAGTGCTTACTAAAAGGGAGATATAACTAGAGATATGAACACAGTGGATGAATTTCATGTATCCATTACCCAACTAATAACAGCTAGATATAAAACATTGTTCTTCAATAAAGTACAAAATCTAAAGCAAGACAATTGTTTTAAATTCAGAATAAGAAGCTGTGACCTATTTTTAGACACAAAGAAAGCAACAAAGCACAAAATCACACGGATAACCGACAAGAATCAGATGAGCATAGCAGACATAAAGAAAGCTCCTAGACATAAACAGGTTGGCAAGAGTGGGGAGCCAGACAAGCACATAGTGCAGAGAGGATGAATTCACAATGACAGCCTTGGAGTCTAAGCAGAAAGGAGGGTGACTGGCTGCACAGACAGTATATATACAATCTGGGTTAAGCAAGTATGGAGAGAATCTTGCATTCTCAACATTCTTTCAGTCAAGTCCAAGACTAAAAACTGGGAGACTAAATAAGTGTAAGGGGATTCAGTATATAAGATATTGAGGGTAAATGAACCCAAGAAAGGTGCAAACAGTAGTTTGTACAGAGGGACAGATTATAGAAAAGGTGAGGACAGCTTTTTGGAAAGAGGAAATTGCCTATAGAAGAGTTGGGGGCACAGTATTTTGGAAAGAGGATGTGCTCTCTGTTAGAGAAGGGGGTACAACATTTAGAATTGAGTAGGCAGTCTGTAGAAGAGGTGGAGGAACAGTATTTTGGACAGGGGGCAGTGTACAGAAAAGGTGAGGACATAGCATTCTGGATAGAGAGAGTGTCAGCATTTCAGACTGAGGAAGCTGTGTGCAAAGGAGTTAAGGGCAACTGGGGTGTTTGCTATACAAGAAGTGGGGCCACAGTATTTAGATAGTGGGTGACAGTCTATAGAAATGGTGGGGGCATGGTACTTTAGACAGTGAGGGCACATTATTTTAGACAGAGGAGGGCAGTCTATATAATGAGTGGGGACACAGTATTTTAGACATAGGGGGCAAAGTATTTTAGAGAGAGGTGGGCAGTGTATATAATGAGTGGGGGGCACAGTATTTTACACAGAAGGTGGCAGTGTATATAATGAGTGGGGGCACAATATTTTAGACAGAGGGGGAAGTGTATAGACGATGTGGGGGCACAGTATTTTACACAGAGGGGGGCAGTGTATATAATGAGTGGGGACACAGTATTTTACACAGAGAGGGGCAGTGTGTATAATGAGTGGGGGCACAGTATTTTACATAAGAGGTGGTGTATATACGAGGGGGCACAGATTTAGACAGAGGGGGCAGTGTATATAATGAGTGGGGCACAGTATTTTAGACAGAGGGGGCAGTGTATATAATGAGTGGGGGGCACAGTATTTTAAACAGAGGGGGCAGTGCATATAATGAGTGGGGGGCACAGTGTACATAATGAGTGGGGCACAGTGTATATAGTTAGTGGGCACAGTGTATATATACAGTGTATATAATGAGTGGGGCATGTATATAATGAGTGGGGGGCACAGTGTATATAATGAGTAAAGTACAGTGTATATGAGTAGTACAGTGTATATAATGAGTGGGGGCACAGTGTATATAATGAGTGGGGCACAGTGTATAGTTAGTGGGGCACAGTATATAATGAGGGGGGCAGAGTGTATATAATGAGTGGGGGCACAGTATAATGAGTATATATATGAGTTAGTGGGGGGCACAGTATATAATGAGTAGTACAGTGTATATAGAGTGGGGGGCACAGTGTATATAGTTAGTGGGGGGCACAGTGTATATAATGAGGGGGGGCAGAGGTATATAATGAGGGGGGCAGAGTGTATATAATGAGTGGGGGTAGAGTGTATATATTGAGTGGGGGGGGCACAGTGTATATATTGAGTGGGGGCACAGTGTATATAATGAGTGGGGCACAGTGTATATAGTTAGTGGGGGGCACAGTATATAATGAGTGGGGGGCAATATAATGTACAGTGTATATAATGAGTGGGGGGCATGCGTATATAATGAGTAAGAGTATATAATGAGTGGGGGGGCAGAGTGTATATAATGAGTGGGGGGCAGAGTGTATATATTGAGTGGGGGGCACAGTGTATATATTGAGTGGGGGGCACAGTGTATATAATGAGTGGGGGGCACAGTATTTCAGACAGAGGGGGGCAGTGTATAGAAGATGTGGGGGCACAGTATGTTAGAGGGGGGCACAGTATATTGAAGGGTGCAGGTGACTCACCGTCCACGGTTTTCTTCTTAAACAAGGAAGCCATGGCTGTTCCCGGTGTGTGCCCGATCCCTGAGTTCCCCTGTCCTGCTCCCCGCGGTTGCTGTGTTGCCCTGTTACCCCCGGTCGGTCGGTGTCTGTCCGCTCCCCGCTCTCCCCCTGCCCTGAGCACTATTTCCTGATTGACTGAGGAACCAGGAACCGGTTCCACGGCTGCGCTCTGTCACGTGACCGGCCTCTGCATCACGCGCTCCCAGTGACGTCCACTCGCATCTATCCACCCCCTCCCTCAGTTTCCCAGTGACGCGGCGTTGTGCTCTCAGTGCTGCCGCCGCTGGCCGTATTGAGTACTGCAGGAGGGGACCTGTCCTGGCACAGTGATGGCCAGTCTATGGCACTCTAGTCATTCCTCACCTGGCAGAGCATCATAAAGACTATCACAGTCTGCCAAATCTTACTGTTTGTTCCTGTTGTTTTATATTGAACAGTGACTAGCATAAAAAACAGTCATAAACATTCATCATATAACATTTTTTTTGTATACTTTTATCAGCTGTGAATTGCTGAGTTACATTGGAAATTCATATCCACCCTGTATTCTGCATATTAATCAGTGCCAGGAATATACAATAAAGAATCAAATCTTTTAACTATTTGACACTTACCGGAGTCTTTCCAGTTTACTGTGATAAAAGCCTAGGACCATGGGCTTCCTAGGTGTCACTCCTTGGGGCAGTGCAGTGGTTATGGTCCTTAGAGTGCCCCTTTAACTTTTCACAATGGTTCCCACAGCCAGTAGTTCCTGTGATGTGTGTTTGCTAATTACTACAAGGCAGTAAATAAGTGGTATTTACAGTTCGAAAGCCGATACTCACCTCACCTTTTCTGTACACTGCCCCCTGTCCAAAATACTGTTCCTCCACCTCTTCTACAGACTGCCTACTCTATTCTAAATGTTGTGCCCCCTTCTCTGAATATTTATGGATGTTTCTTCTAGTGAAATAGGCCTCTTAGTATGAGCGCAGTACCCCTTGAATTTTCAAGCATAGTCTTTATCCACTGTACATCAAATCTGTGTGTGAAGAGAGAGGAGAGATATATATTTTCTGCTCACGGAAGTACAATACACATTAGTTACTAAGGTACTTGTCTGTTTACATCTTGTTCTGTTTTTCATCATTTTCTCTCAGTTATCATGGGCACCACACCCTGGTAGATATTTTTTCTACTTACCCAATATACTTTTTTTTTCTAATTCAGCTCCCCTTATTCAATTAATTCTATATTAAATAATCGGATTCAAATAGTATTACTATTTTCTTATTTTCCTTTTTGTAATCTGGATTGCTCCCTGTGGGACGAATGGAGTCCATATATGTATATGAGGTTGTTTTTACGATGTCTTGCTTGTTGGAAGCAATAAACTTCTGGCCCAGTGATCAGAGATTACTATATATCACACAGCACCGACCTGAACTACATTTTAGGGGATCGGACCTTGGTAAGCATAGTTATATCAAGTGATCCAGCAACCTAACACCAATCTGGAGAAGAAGCTTTAAAGGAACACTATAGGGTCAGGAACACAAACATGTATTCCTGACTATATAGTGTTAAAAACATCATCTAGTGTTTTTACCACCCTTGCTTGCCTAAATATAGCAAAATCTAACTTTGATTGCAGTGTGCTGCTGCTGGCTCTGCCCCTGATATGCCTGCTTGGCTGACGTCATCAAAAGTGGTGAAATGAGCCAATTACAATGCATTTCCATAGGAAAGTACTGGATTGGCTGAGCTTGTCAAAGAGGCAGATCAGGGGCAGAGCCAGCACAAGCCAAACACAGCCCTGGTCAAGCAGAATCTCCTCATAGAGATAAATTGAATCAATACATTTCTATGAGGAAAGTTCAATGTCTCCATGCAAAGGGTGGATACACTGAATGGCAGTGCTGCACACTGTGAAACTCTGCCCCAGGAAGCACCTCTAGCAGCCATCTGAGGAGTGGCCAGTGGAGGTATCCCCAGGCTGTAATGGAACCACAGCATTTTCTCTGAAAAAAACAGTGTTTACTGCAAAAAGTCTGAAGGGAATGTTTATACTCACCAGAACAAATACAATAAGCTGATACCGTTAAGTATCAAACGTATGTGGTTTTTGGAGTCTATTTGTCATGTTGCAGTATGCACGTTACTATGTAACATTGTGATAGTTCATAGCTGTGGCAACAAATTTTGTTTTGCCACAGGTTTCTGTGGATTAGTCAGCAACAGTAAGTGCCATTTGCCAAACTGAGACATTGATACTTTATATATGTATATATACATGAGCTCAATATCTGGACACACATTGTTTCTTTGCAGATAAAAGTCAGTACCATTGGAAATCTCATATTTAAAAATGACATACATCCATATGTGGTGGGAATGCCGGCACATAACCCAAATATGGAAAGAAATGGCCACTGCCACCTCGAGAGCATTACAAACTGACATCCCCCTAGATCCTTGGATTTGGCTACTGTCTAAACCCCATGAAAATCTGACCCGAGCACAAAACAAGCTGGTAGCAAAGGTGACCTTAGCACGCGTAGAACGATAGCTACCCATTGGGGAAGTCCTGATATCCCAGCGATCCCGGAGGCCCGGTGACAGATTAGGGAGGCTATGGAAATGGACGAATTGTCCGCACTAATACACGAAAATACCAGATCCTTTGATAAGATCTGGGACCCCTGGTTGGCATTGTAGAGAAATTTGGATGACAGGAGTGGACGGGGGGATGGGGGAAGGAACAAATAGTCCCCCTCTCCTCCACATCCCACACTTTTCTCACACCCACCCACCTGGATACCCCACACCACCCAATCAATCACCTCTACTAACCAAGATTACCCACATAGACATAACAAACACAAGGAAGACATCTGATCCGAACTCAGAGAACTCTTAGATCACAACCAAACACCAGAAAATGACTGAAAGACACGTGGGTAACCTCCATTTGGGAAGGGGGCAAACACCCCTCCCCCTACAAACACAATCCCCACACCGACTCCAAGTTCTATGCCCCCAATCCCGGATGTAACACCGCATCCCTCAAGGACCGAGACAACATAACACAAGGTACAGAACGAGATCACACTATCTCAAGTAGTCAACGAACCTGGCATTAAATACAAATGAGCTTAACACAACAAAAACAAAGACTAGCACCCAAAACAACGATCTTAAGAATAGGGACGTTGGTGGATACCTACAAACACAATCCCCACACCGACTCCAAGTTCTATGCCCCCAATCCCGGATGTAACACCGCATCCCTCAAGGACCGAGACAACATAACACAAGGTACAGAACGAGATCACACTATCTCAAGTAGTCAACGAACCTGGCATTAAATACAAATGAGCTTAACACAACAAAAACAAAGACTAGCACCCAAAACAACGATCTTAAGAATAGGGACGTTGGTGGATACACTAACCGGGGAAGACGCCCCCACTGCCTCTACCCACCTTGTTTCTCCCAACCCCGAGTAAAGACAACATAATGCATGAAAATATGAATGTATGCAAAAATGACAATGTAAAATCTGAAATTGTAATCTCATCTTCTTGTAATATGTTGCAACCCTTCTTCTTTTCTGTAACCCACAAGAATGAGAAACTCATGAAAACTCAAAAATAAAGAATTTACAAAAAAAAATGACATTGTATCATCTGCTATCAAATCCAGACTGAATGCTTCATCAATAATATCTCCAGTGATTTCCTTAATGAAATAGTAGTGTGGTCTTGATCATGTACATAGAATTTACCAAATGTATCTAGATATCAGCTTGCAATGATTGTTATATGTGTAACTAACATTTGAACATCTCAAAAGATCTTACTAAAGATCTGGGAAGTGTGAGAGTCAGATATTCACTGTTTTTTTTTTTACCTCTAGCCTTTTTGGCATTTGATTTGATACCAGAACACCTTATTACAAGTGTACTTGTTTTATATTTATGTTTTTTTTTACTCTCCCAATGGAAGATGGAAAAAATGTATATTAATGTAAACACCCCAAGCTTATATTATTATCCATTTGTTACACAATTGGCTTGCAGTTTGACAGAATAATTAAGCTTAGATAAGCTAGTAGTACACTTCGGAAAGGGGGTACGACTGATAGGTTTATTTGTAAATTACAATTTGCATTAAACTTGTAAGTTTATACAGATTAAAACCGAAGGTCAAACATAGACCTGTATCAAAGCCAGCCATGGTTGTTTGTTAGAGCATTTACCGCTGCGATCCCTGATGGCAGAAATAAATGACATTACCTTTCAGAGAGTGAGGCTTGTCACGGATGAGTAGCAGAACTTGGCAAGGCCATGCTACTTTCATTTGGGTCTCACCCAGTGGTATAAGAAGTATTTCTGTACAATGTCATTGAACTGTTTGCAACCAAAGCACCACTAAGGTGAGCAATACATTTTTCAAAAAAGCAGTCAACTGAGCAAAGAAATATTGTTTCCTGATCTCATGTGCGGGTATAGTAGCCAGCCATCTGGGCAACTTTATTTACTTTGACGAAATAGCTTTTTTTTAGTCAGTTCAATGCCTAGGCTGAAATATATTTGAAACCATATGTTTTGTTTAACAATCTTAAACAATTTAAAGGAACACTACAGTGTCGGAATTACAAACACGTATTCCTAACACTATAGCTTTAAGATCACTATTTAGGCTCCCATCCCTCCCCTCCTACCTTTAAAAAGATATGTTTGCTTGCCCTTTTCCAGAGCTACCTCCTGCTCCCACTCCACCTCCTTGGCTGAGATCATCAAATTTGATAGTAAAGCATTGGGAGGGAATTGCGCGTGCACGGCAAAACGCAGCACTGCTCCAATTAGCATCTCCTCATTGCGATGCATTGAATCAGTGTATGTCTATGGGGATTTTTCAGTGTCTCCATGCAGATTGCGGAGTTGCTGAACTAGGGTGCTGCATATAGTGCAGCAATGAAACATGGAAACATCTCTAGTGGCTGTCTGAGTGACTGCCGCTAGAGGTGTTGTTATAGGCAGCAATGTAAACACTGCATTTTCTCTGAAAAAGCTGCATTCACATTGAAATACCTGCAGGGATATGTTATAGACACCAGAACAACTACATTAAGCTGTAGTTGTTCTGGTTAGTGTAGTGTCCCTTTAAACATAGTAGACAATTCTCAGATTTTGGAGTGCAACACTGATATAAAGCCAGTTCTATAAACAACTCTAAAA